ATGTAGTACAGCTTATTACATTGGACATTTTTAATTAGATTGGACATTAGAAGCCTAGAACCAAAATCCATTCTACAGCAGATAAAGAATTGCTGAAACATCCCATACTCCAGCACTACATTTAAAGATAATAAAATGGCCAGATTTCTTCAATTTTATCTACAATGGCTATCAAATTTGACACATATTTCAAAACAAAAAAAAACCCATGATGAAAATATACATCTTTTATGCTTCTAGCAGAACTTAATGTCCTAAAGATAGAAAAGGACACGAAAGCAGAAAGATTGATTTGTTAGGAAATAAGGACTATTGGCAGATCGTCAGTAAGATCACAGAGTAAGAACTAGTTCATTTGTATTCTTCCATGATAAGAAACTTTTTTTCCCCATGGTTAACAGCAATAGTCTTTTCAGAACACCAATATGTATAAGTAGATTTAAATGATTATCCACTGTTTGAATCAGAATTTATCTATTAAAATTGTTTAATTTGGAGAAAGAGCGATAAAATACTCAAGAGTGGACAAAGCAACATTTTATCAAAATAACAGCATTATTCACAGATGCAAAGTACCTGCTTCAACTCCAAGATCAAACACATCATTACATGAAACTTTGCTTTTCACACTGGAGAAGTAGCATCTAATGAGTTTAATAGAGCTGGCAATGAAGTCTCTATTAACAGCATCCTTTGAACATAGTTATGAATTCCTGAGACAGGAGCTGCCAGCATAAACTTCTGATTCTCAAAAGATTTTTTTGGTTTTCAACACAAACATAAAAAGTAACACTAGCAATCAGTTATAACACTATAAACAAGTAAAGATTGAAAATTCATTGGGAAGCTAGAATCTTCTGTAATACATCGTACAACAAGCAATTCAAATATTTTAATGTTTGGGTTTTTTTCTTTACAACCTACTGATATATGAGGCTTGGGGATCTATTATTAAATGCTGAAGGTAAAACAAAATAAATGATGAACCCATAGAAGTTGGAAGAAAATAATCAATGCTGACATTAATTTAAGACTTTTCCTAAAAAAAAAAAAATATCAAGAAATAATAGTAGCAAGCATCTATACAGAAGTTTATCTTTGGTTCTACTTCAAAAAGAAAAATAGTGTTCTGTCCATAACACCACCTTTAAATGTAAAGATGGTTTATGTCTTTTATTCCACTAATAGAAACAAATACTGATATATAGCCTAGAACAGTACTTGGTACAGTCCTTTTTAATGTTCAGCTCATTCTCTGGTAGCTTTAAATGGCTCTTCTCCTTGGGAGAAAAGAGAAGTAAGTTTTCTTGGGTTCAGCAATAACACCAGACCTGGAGTCTGATCAGCAGTGGTCATACAATCAGTTAAAAGAAAACAGCAATTAGTTTTTGGTTTACATCAACTTTTTTACTTGTGAAATGTTAATTATAGAAAAAATCATTAATGGCCTTATTTACAGAGAATGAATGCCAGTATCAAACAAAACCAACTTACCAATGACTCTCTGCCAACAAATCGTGATTCACTAACTGAGCAAGTGAATTAACAATCATTTTCCTTTACAATATAATAGTAGGCAAAAACATAACTTGGCAGTATTTCCCTCTTGTTTTTGTGGACACTAATTAGCGTAGTTATATAAAAAAAGATTTGAATTAAATATGCAAAGGTCTCAGAATTGTTTGACTTCCTCTTTAACTTAATCCAAATATTTGACTTAACTTCTTCGTGTAATTTGGTGTTTCAACTGGAATCCCACTGAATCCACTGATAAGTACATAAAATTATTATTTGCAGACTGCTTATGTAGCTCCCTTTTGAAACCTGCAACTAAAATAAAGATGTAATCCCTTTACATAAAACATCTTTAGAGAAGTCATGGTCTCTGCGAACTAGCCAAGTACTTATCCTGTTCTCTACCTGACCACCAGATCTCACACAGTAGACAACTCAACAGGTTTGTAATTCTTCTTTTTATTGGTAAGTCTAGATTATTCGTACAAACCACATCTCAGCTAAAATTTCTTCCCTGCTTTTCCCGCAGTTTCCAGAAATTAAGGAAAAAGAAGTGTGTTTTGGAAGCTGCAGTGATTAGCAAGTATCCAAAATTTTATTTTAGAAAAGCCACATATTTACAGCACAGGATGTAAACACTGTTGTATGCATTTGCCTGTTTCACTTTGTCATTTCCCCACAGTTCTTTGTAAGCTATGGTCCTTGCCATGTAGCACTCAAGAAGTGCTCTTCATTTAGTGCAATTTTTACTTGAGTTTTCTTTCACAGGACAAACTACAGTTATTCATTGTTTTCCCTAGAATCCTAACACAACCCTTATAGGCATTTGTAACAAGCACTAATTGTCCCTAGAAAACATTCTTCCTCTGTTTTACTGAGATGGAATGCCCACAATTTTAGCACAATAGTGATCGCTGAACAAAACCCAACTCTGTCCTTATTGCAAATGGTGAGCAGACGTTCATCTCCCCCTGCTCAAAACATTGTTGCAACAATGGGAAAAGGAAAAAATAATGCAAGCTGGTCTCTTTTGCTGTGGTCTAAAAATGGAAATATGAGTTCTACCACTGAATCCAGAGGGACAGTGAGGTATCTTCCATGTATCCATAAAGTATGGAAAGTTTCTATCTTACTAAATCAGACTGGCTATTTTCTCATTTCATTTTAAATGATTGATATTATTAGGTTTAAATTCCTGTTTCACCTTCTTTTCTGTTCTAACAAACCTAATTTTAGATAATTACTCTTACAAATTAAAATGATCGTCTCTCACTGGACTTTTTCAGCACTACTTTGTAACCTCCACTTGCTAACAAGAATCTCATATGAATGGACTCACAATTTCTTCAAGTTGAGATGAGGTCTAAAAAGTCACATTTTAGGCCATTTGCACTATCATAATTTTGAGGTAATCTGTAATTAGATTGTCTTCTTGGAGAGTGCTGGAAGTAATATCAATATTCCTTATAAGACCACCAGTCTTCCAGAGAAAATCTCCTAGACACATGACAAATTGTGAGTACCCATGGGAACAAATGAAGATCTGTGCTGGGCTCTTCCATCACTGACAATATATCTGACGTGAATTCAGAAATCGAGCCAGCATTTGGAAGCAATAATTCCTACAAATCTTTTTAATGTCACAAGCTGTATGACAGTTGCATTAATTACCAATAATACTCTCTGAAAAAAAACCAACTATAGAGATTACCTCACATGCATTTTGTCCTGTCCTTTTTAAAAGGGGTTTCAGGGTAAACACGCAAAATGGATACAAGCTCAATAATGAAGCCTTAGCCACTGAAGAATTAGAGGTAAGACAGAGGGTGTCTACTGAATAAAAAAAAAAAGAAGTTCTAGTCATGTTTTACTGACTGTTAACTAATTAACTGGATCACGGCAGGACTGCTAAGGGAGGCTGTGTCCATACTACTGGATAGGATACAATTGCTATTACAACAAGAATTACGAAATATTACAACATCACATCCAAATACATCATGGAAATATAGTGGAAGTGAAAAAGAGATTTTCTTTGTTTTCGCTCCAAAATAGAGGGCATGATTTTAACACTCTTACTAATATGGCATCCATTAGAATAAAATAATTAAATCTTAAGAAAGTGATAAATAATAAAGAAGTGTCTGCTACACAGCTCCCAACAGTTTACAGTGTTCAGGTCGCTGCCATTGATCACAGTATAAAGTCAGAGAAACAAAATGAGAAAAAACCAAATAGCTCAAGGACAGACTGTAATAAATTTAGTCCTTTAAATGGCAAATACCTGTTTTCATGGAGATAGGACTGCAAACACCAATAGGTTAGCAAAGGCTAGCAACCTATCAGAATAGTATTTTTAGGAAATATAGTAGCTAAAACATAGTAAAATTTTAACTGACAAATCCATAACACATGTAGACTCATATATATAACATTATAAATAGTTTTCCAGAAATAAAAGCCTGTTTCCCTGAAAATAAATTATTGTGCTTTGCATTTCTCACAATAACTACACAGAATAAATCAGATCCTTTCCATGAGGAAATTACCACCTGATCACTGGACAGAAGTGGTTGAAACATGCTAAGAAGCACTTTGACTGATACAACTTTACTCACTTAATTGGACAACAGTTGCCAAGTAAGATCAGTCTTAAACTCCATTTAAATCAAGATGCTAATCTGAGCAGTGTTTAGTACCAAATGTTTCAGAGGCAAGTCAGAGAAACATCAGAATAACCTGATGAGTATTAGCTTGGCAAATTTATGGAAAAAAAATCCAAAAAGCATACTTTATGAAAGTCAAATTGAACTCCATTTTATGCACACCACTTTAAACTGTTTTTATCTTTTAGTATGTAACTTGTATTATTTTCAATTCATTGTAAATATTAACAAGTTCAGCAAACTCAGAAATGGCAGTATGGTCATTAGTTTAAAGCCAATGTGCACTTACACCAGCATAACTACAGAATACTCTGATTGTACACTAGTTACAATGGTGTAGCTAGCACTGAACCTGACATACTTACTTTAGACAGTATTTACTATAGTGAGAGTAATACTCTCCCTGTGTGTCACGTTACATCTGGTAAATATACAGGTCTAAATGCAAATTGAGAAACAGTCTGGAAAGATCAGATTAGGAAGAGAAAATGTGCTTTGTGCTAAAGAATAAAAAAATATGTTACTTTAAAGCTGCCAAAGGATGAAAAAGCTGCAGGGTATGCAAGTACGGTGAGGCTTGGTATAATGAACTGTTGAAACAAGTTATTCTTTCCAGACTTTTAACACACCTTGTAATTTTTTAAAATAAAATTTAACCTGCTTACTCAGTAAAAACAGTTCACGTGTATTTCTGAGGTTAAAATACTTAAACAAAACAAAACAACCTCCACCTAGAATTACCTAAAACCAACCACCATCAAGAGAGTTAATCATGTAACCTCATAAACCACTTGTGAAAGAAAATATTTTATTTCTAACCTCTGCTGCCAGTTGCTGAAGAGAAGGGGATGCAACAGGGTGTAAAGTTGAGTTGCCTTTGACTGGATTATGGAGGCTAATGTAAGCCACAACATTTCTTTGAAGAACTCTCTTGAGATCCTACAACACAAGCAGAGCAATGATTATTACTAAGCATGATTATAATTAAGACTTGTTTTGTTCTTGTGGTTCCTTCTAGGGAAAACTGCACCCTATGTTTTTGTCCACTGTGATTCCCTAAGTATTACTTAACTACTACTTCTTACAATACGCTGTAAAGAACTTTGAAAGGTATCTTAGTATTATTTTTTTATATAGCAGAAGTCATAATTTCATTTTACACACCATCTCAGTGAAATGCAAACAGGCCTGGAAGGAATTAAAAGTGACACTTGTAAGGCCAAAAATGAAACAATGAAAACATACTGTGAAAAAATGTGATGTCCTTTTAAACTTATGCTTAACAGAAAACAAAACTCAAAAGCAATTATTATCAACAGTTAAATGTACTCAAATTTTTAAAGATCAAATCCAGATTTGAATCACATAAGTTTTCCAGCATTTTCATTTTATTATTTTTTAGATTACAAAACCAGTATGTATAAACTGCTCCAATTATTATCTCTTTTTAAAAAAGATTCCTTTTGCCTTCTAAGTAATGAGTTATTCTTTGCGTGAAGTGGCTCTTTATATTGAACAGAAGGGGTGTAACGCAATTACATTTGATGTAAAGCTGACTTGAAGTGGAACTAAACAAATTTTGCTTCCAGCTTGGATCTATTCAATTTGATTTTTTCACCCTCTCTTGTTTCTGAAGAATAATCATGTTGGCAGTATGAAACTTCAACAAGAGCTAGTTGCTTCTCACGTAGGATAAAAAGCAATTAACTCTTCATAATCTCTTCATTTTGTGTACGGTTTTGATTCAGTAGCCATGAACCTTTCTGGTAGTTATTCCTTTAATTTATCAACTGAAGTCCACTGTAATCATATATGACCAACAGTAATCTGATGGGGTATCTTCCTTCAATAAGCTGAGTCCTATTCTCTTGAGAGTAAGAGGCCCAGAAATTGTCTGTGTCAGATTGTATCTAACTCCTTACCACAAGTACGTGTAAAGTGAATCAGCACTAGCTATGGAGACTCTGAAATGTTTATGTAAACCAAAGTACCGTTCATTCAGTGTGCGCTTCATTCCATTCTCCCCACAGTAAAGCCTATCAATTCAAAATCAGTAATTGCTGAACCCTCAAGGAGGAGTAAAAGCTATTCTTGGGCCTAGGTCTTTCTTGAGGTTCTTCCCCCTCCACCGAATTCTGGCAAAGCCCTCTTGTACAGTCCTCTGCTGAATTAGGGAGGGGAATCAGCTCACAAAGGTGTTGTACACATGACCTTTACAGCTATGGAAACAACTTGCCATCTCATTATCACACATGCTCTGTGTTCCACAGGAACAGCCCGTATAGATGTTCTCATTGCATTTCCTATGGAGTACATGAACGAACACAGACAGACATCACAGACCAGTTAATGAACCATTATTTCTATGTGGTGATTGCATATTGTTTTCATGCTTTCAGCAAAAGCAATCACTATTGCAATGAGTCCTTCTAAAACTATTTTACCTCCGCCCATTCATAGGAACCAATGTTCCCAAAAGATGTTCCTCCCCATGAGCAGAAAACAATAGTCCGGTCAGGTCTCCAGCCTCTCCCAACCTTCAACATCAAGGCTTGTATAAATGCTGTGATGATAGCTGTGCTACTGGCCCATTCTTGTCCACCATGAGTGTTCAATCCATTGTGATGACTACCAACGATGATGTATCTGTCTGAAATTTGAAAAAAAAAAAAAAAAGACAGACAAGAGAATCTTATTTCTTCTGGATACTAGCTTTAAGAGAACTTAAAAAACCTAAAAGATGAACTGAATTAGTAGTCTGCAATGTCATTTATACAACACAATGCTGTCAACAAAAATTCATACAATCATGTGCAAAACAGTTACACAATATAAATACATAAAACTGTGAATATTATTTAAAAATAAACTAGTAAATAATGATATGTACGGACTTTCCTAATTTAATCCCTCTGCCCTTGTCTTCACTGTTTGTTTATTACTCTCCATTCCTACAAATCTGATATATACCATTTTTACAGCCAGGATTTCATCATATAGATAATCTAATAAAACTGTGCTCACATTAGAGTGTTATGAAAAAACACAAATAAATAAGCAGGAAAATCTGCCTTCAATAAATACTAGTGTCCAAAAAAGAAAACAAAAGGTGTGGTAGTACAATGAGAAACATAGAAAAAATACACAAAGTATTAGTACTCCCTCACCTGGAAGACTGTGTTCAGTGCTCACCACCCTATCTCAAATAAGACATTGCAGAAACAGCAGTTGAGAAGCTGGTAACCAGAACGGTTATATATCAGGACTTAGACTTCCATGTAAGGAGACACTGAAAAGACCTGGACTGCAGGTTTAGAGAGGAGACATGACAGAGGAATAGAGATAATGAATGATACAGAAACGGTAAGTCAGACCTAGCAACTTTGATGATAATGAAAGAAAGTATTTTATAAAATGAAAAGCAAGAAGTTTCAACCTGAAATAAAGAACATGCCTATGGTTATCCCGAAAAAAAAAACCAAAAAACCCACATTTTTTTTCAGAGAAATTAAATGAAATCTTCATCTCTCAAGGCATAATATATAATCCAACTGCTAACTCACAAGTGTAAAGGACCTTATTTTGTTCCAAAAGGCTGATGTGGTATGAGACAACATGAATGACTAGTGTGACTGACTCGTGTCAAGAAGTCTAAACAGAGTTATGCTGAATGACTCATTAAACTATTAGACCTTCTGCATGAGATGAATTCACAACCGAAGCCTCTTTGAAGGACTGCTTACTGGTTGTGTTCTGATATTTAGTAAAGTCTTTTTCTGGTCCATATCTAGTTTTTTAGAGGTGTTCTTTACATATTTCAGGTTACTGGTAGTGGGCAGAAGAATTGATAACAAAAGAATTGATAGTGATGTCAGATCCACAACAGTCTCAGGCTGTCATTTGAGTTCCAAAAAGTTCAAGTTTTGGTTTTCTTTCTTTATCCAGGGGGAATCATTCTTCACTGTTGTCAGTACAATGGAATGTAGCCACACATAAGTGGTAAAATGTCCACATTTCATAGTAGCTTATAAAATTAAATATCTGCTCCTCAGCATTTTTTGCAGTCACTGCTGCCTAGAAACAATTTTAACTGAACACGAAGGTGCTTTCATTATAAAACCATTCTCTACCAAACTGGACTTTTTATCAGTTTTGTTCAACAAAATACATGCCAATGTTGTTTCAAAAGGAATCAAAAATGCTTTTCAAACAGGGGATCTGTTATGTACCTACAAAACAACATTTTCAATCAACTGCTTGGGGTTTGTATAGGTATGTAAATGAAATTTTTTTTCTAAAAGGAGATATGCAAAATGTAAATCTAGGTGTACATAAGAATTTAATGTAACAAAATACAATTTAAATCACATAATTTTGCAACTTATGTGTTGCATCATGAGACATTTAATTATAGGTTGCACTGACAGTGAAAAATCATAGCATCTTGAAGTCACTTAATGTTAGGAACTGGGAACAGAAATAAATGTCCTTATAGACTTCTAGGTCATTAGAGGAAGTGCCACTAACACAGGGTGATCAGACAGGATCAATGCTTGCCTCATACTATAACCTCTGTTCAGCCTGTGAACAGCGTATGTGAAGGGGAGTGTAAAGAGACCTTATGTAAAATGGTATAGGACATTCTGATAGAGAAGAAAGCTGCAAGCAGCAACTTACTGTAGGAGATGCCAGCTGAATGAACAGGGGTAAAACATAACAGCTGGTGCCTCCTTTGAAATTCTTCATCTTTGCACATCTCTCCCTCTTGAACAGAGGCAATACCCTGAAGCAAATGACTATAGGAAAAGCATAGGAGAACGGATGGTCATGCTTACAGAGGCAGCAGCTGTCCTTTCTCATAACCATTTGCTGAAGCATGTAGAGAAAGAGATCACATGATAAGAAAAAAAGAGAAAGAAAGGACCAGAGATAGAGAAAAAAATATCCATTCGATACTTTTGAAAGTGATCAGATGGGATAATGTGCAGGGTAGTTCAGATAGCGACAGGGATTTATCATTAAAAAAGGAGTCTTCATACTGTCTTCTCTTGTTACACATCCCATTTTCAACCATGTCCAATAGAGCTACAAAATTTTTCAGGTTTTAAAAAGCTACCAACTATCACACTTCCTCTGCTCCTAAATCTTTTAATATCTTGGTTGCATTTCTGATGCTCATTGTTACTCCACATATCACATGTCAAATAACATCACCATAACATAGATGTGTTGTTGTGTGTGTATTAGCAGGCCTTTAAGCCAAAGAAAAAAAAAAAAAAAAAAAAAATGATGCTCTGCAGTCTTTCATTAAGCGCTAAAGATCAATTTTACTCTCTTTCTGCATTTCTGGGAACATAAAAGTGAATGTTTCAAGTGTATGAAACTAGCAAAACCCCATCAAAATGACAGAGAATCAATTCCATGAAAACATCAAGTATTCAAATCAGTTGATAGAGCATGGCTATACTATCAACCAGGAAGAGCAGAGAAAACAAAGATTTAACATTGTGTCCGGACAAAATGTTATCCATGTTGCACTTGCCTACATTAGAAGCCAGTTGTTATGGCCCTTGTTCAGCAAGACATTTACAGGACAAACTGTTGGCACCTTGGTAGTGCTGTTGACTTCACTTGATTATATATCCTTAAATTCTTAAAGATAAGCATATACTGACATACCTATAAAATGTAGCTAAGCAAGAATACAATAATAAGATGAAAGATACGGGTATAGAGAAGGTAAAGAGTTTATTAAACAGAAACTGATGCATGCTTTTTATAATTTGTCTCGTTTCTGTTTCACAATTCAGTAGGCAGTATGTCTAAACATGGCAATTTCTACCTTTCAAATTCCATGACAGCTATTTGCAAAACACTAGCAATAATAGACTAGTAACTTCAAATTCTTGAAGGAAATTTAATCCTTTACGGAAATTAAATTCACTGTGCTAATATGTTGTGTTAAATAAATAAATAAATAAATTGTTCTGGTGAAAAGTACAGCATTCTGTACACACAAAACTGAGTTGTCTTTTCCCAACAGCTGTAAACTTAAATCTTCTCTACCTCCTTCAGTCCATCACTTATGAAATGACTAGCCCAGTTCCTAAGGGACTGTAGATAAATCCGCAGCCTTTCTTTTGAACCTAATAAAAGATTATTAATCAAGGCAAATGTGATGATGTTTTGATGAAGATGCCGTCTATACATTAGAAATTGGACTGGCTCTACAACATTTTGCACTATGTAAATAACCAGCAACAGCGTTCATTCATGCTGCAGAAACCCTTCAACTTTCAAGCAAATTCACCTGCAGACAGAATAAACTCAAAATGATCTTCATTCGTATGATGTCCCGATTGTCGTATTATCTATGTACAACATTGAAGAAGGGATGGGCTTTGTGATTTACGTCACAGTTACACACAGAACCTTACTGTTTAGTTCTTAGACATACAGAACAGTAATTATTATTCATAGACTTGTAGAAAACTAGCTTAAGGCATGATTGTAGCACAAAGTAAGGCTGCAGCAAGTGTGATTAATAACTCAGTCACAGATTTTTGTACACTAAAATCACGGTTGATATTAGATTCTTCACTAAGCCAGAGATCACGCTGCCCTACATCTTGGTTTCAGTGAGACACTTGAATTATGTAGGGATGTTCTGGACTTGAAGCACAGAGTTTTATTTCTCTCAAAATTCTGTCAACGTGAAAAAAATAAAAACCTTTTCTAAAGTTGTATAGACAGCTTGCTTATTAATTCAAATCATGCAATACAGTACTCCCTAAAATTAAAATGACCAACATAGTTACTTGGTATAAAATACTAATATTCCCTATGGTCTACATGTAATTCCTGCTTGTTGTGTAAAAATATGCTTATTTTAATGATAATATCCTCTTGAGCTCATTCACTTTTTAACCCTTATGTTCTGTTTTGTCGTAAATCAAATCACAAAACGACAACAACAAAGGCTCTCTCCTTCTTCTGTATTACTGCATTATCTGGTAAAATAGAATCCTGATCGCAGCTATGACTCCCAGCCATCATGAAACAAATAATCGATACAAATGATGAAGGACTACTTACCAGGAAATACAGTTCCTTTTAAATATCCAATAACATTAGAAATTGTCTTGTAAGTTGTGACTGACTGAATATTCAGACTGATTACTTTTTTGTCTGTTAAAAGATAAGAAGAATAAAAAAAGAAAATGTTAAAATTGTTTATGCAGCCAAGAAATCTACAGGCCACAGATATAAATTCTTTACACATTAAAAAGAAAAAAAAAGTTAAAATGAAGAAAAAAAAATAGATACTGAAGAGGAACCGGAGATTTAAACATGAAATATTACATTATTTTCTTAGTCCCATTTTAGCAGTGGGGTTCAAAGCTAGAATCTCAAGAGAGATCTCTACTCCTTGAGTTAAAATATCATTCAATTCACCCAATAAATGTGGCCAGAATACAACAGAAAAAAAAAAAAAAAGACTAAGATCTACATAATTCTATGATAAGGAAATTTGTCTTAATCTTTATAGGTTATTCTCACCTAATCCTTCGCCCAAGTCAATTGTTCAGTAACATTCACAAATTTATACCTGGTTTATATTACACTATTCCTCTGTAGAAAAGCCCCTACACTACATCAGATGGGAAAATTTAGACCTCTGCATTACTAATCACTTTGCCAGCATAGCCTTTGGTGATATACTTGTGAACTCATGCCAAAAGAAGACAGCTTTTGTTGGCTTAGCTGGTATCAGCTGAGGAAATGGTGTAAATACAAAGACAGAAAAATTCCAAAACCTGCTAAAATGTAAGAGATTTGCCAATATTGCTATGCCAGTTGAGATTTTAGCACAGAATAAAGCCAGAGAAAAGTAAATGTCTGAGTTAAATTAGCTTCAAAAAAATTAACTGTCCTTTGCTGAGAATTACTGTCATTCCCTCTGTCCCCCAGGTGGGACACACTAACCATACAAACTCCTGCGGTTTGTGGCAATGGAAACAAAACAACCAACTACAGGGAGCTGCTGATATCTTTAAAAATGTTTTGTTAGGATTATAATAGACTGTATTAACATTCATCTCATCTGAAAGGTCATAACTTCTATCTGAGAAAAGTGAAAATGTCTTAAACTGCTCTAAATTAAATGCTAGCAATTGTCTGACAACCACCACTGTGTCATCCTGGAGCTTCAGGGAGGCTCTCTGACATCCCGAGTGCTGCATCACTCCCATGACAGACCTGCCTTTAAAGGCATCCTTGAGCCAGAATTCTTCAGTGTCCATATCCCAACTGTCACAGACCAAAATTAAAATATTCCACGGATCATTTTGCTCTCTATCTCCCAGGCTATTATCCTCCCACAGATGTATTTCTAACAGTTTGTTTCCTGGCTTTTTTTTCCCGAGATGTCCAGAATTTGCAAGTGGGGAGTTTACTGCAACATGTAAAATAAAAACAATAGGTCTCTATGACACTGTTCTTCAAGGTTCATTTGCTGGTACTTCATCCGGTAAATTTACTTTAAAATGCTCTTAAAATAAAATCCAATATATTTTCATTCACTAGTCTTCATTGATACTTGAAAAAAGCAAACCAACTGCAAGGATGCTTCGTTGTTTTTTAAAAAATGTACTAGTAATATTTATTCTACTTCTTAGTTAGACGAAAGCTGCATTATCAACAGATGTGTCCTCTACGTGACAACTCTGCTGTTGCTGGAAAGCAACCGTAAAGGAAATGCAAGTCAACCACAGTTAATTAAAAATAACCCACACCACACTATTTTGCTATAATCAGTCACTGTAAGTTAATATTTTGATCTGTCATGCATGTGTTGGGGTTTGAGCTGTAATTAACTTTGCCCTGCTGTAAGCTACTATAAGGTTTATTAACACCATGTGATGATGAATTGTGTTTGTTCTATAAATCTATAGATATTATTCTAAAATGTAAAAAAAAATAAAAAAAATAAATAAAAAAAAAATATATATATATATATTAATCCAAAAGGTTCCACTGTACTGTGACCTATATTCTTTTTTTGTTTTTTTAAAACAATGTGAAAGCAGATCATGGCATCCATGTTGATTAATCAGTTTAAATGCGACTACAAAAGTTACTTTCTGCTGTTTCTCACCTACAACCATTCTAGGGTCAGTTTACTCTGCTTAAAGATTTTAAGGCTAAACTGATTTCCTTTCCTTTTCTAACCCTACAACACTTTAGATATATGTTTCTTTAGGCCCCTTTTCAGACTAAAGAAGATAAATCCTTTTGAAGACAACTGACTTAACTGTTTTTCTTTAATCGACATGAGCTATCCAGCCTTCAACTGACAATAAAGTAATAGAATATTAAGTTCTGGTAATACACATATTCTGGAATCAGATATTCGAGTTAATAGTCTTGTAACACAGCAGTCAGCTTAAAGTGACTTGGGTTTAAAGGCTTAGTACACCAGATGAAAAGGCTGAAAGTGCTCTTTGGAATATACAGCAGAAACGAAATTTAATCCCTCTTAAACAGTTCTGACAACAAACCTGTCTTACTAATGCTATATTTTAAAGATCTTGACAACATTATTTTTTTGTCTAGTCTCTGGAAAACTATGAGGAGACTTTAGGTTAATATTATTTGGGATACAATTTAAGTTTACATAAGTCAAAAGCTACTTCTTAAATAGAAGAACAAGAAAATATTTACTGTAAATATTTTTTATTTAGTTATTGAAATCTGTAAATTCTCATACCAAATGACTACTTTCTCTCACAATTACACAGTCTTTTTGAGAAATGCATGGTTATTTCAACACTCATTTGACTGACAATTTTAGAACTTCAGATGAGCAAAACTCTTACTTGTAACCTGTAAAATGTGGTATGTTTTATTTCTTTTTTTGCTTTTAAATAGATTCCAAGTTCATGCCAACATAGAGGAATATACACTTGAGCCCGATTTTAAAGGCTTTAAAGTAATATCAAATGCCACAGCCATGATGATACACTAATAACTCTCTGCTCTCAATGTCAAAACACCACAAGCTATTTACATATAATGAATAATCAAATTTCTTCTACTGGTGATACTGTATGGAATAATATGGACTGATATGTAGTATCTAGGATACCATTAAATATGCCGATAAGATAAATATACATTAAAACATAAATAACAGCAGATTTTGCTGTCATATGAAACAAATGTTTTGTTTTCATTAGAAATTTTCTAGAATAACTGAATAAAATTCCAGACTACTACTACTACCATATTAGACTCCCTACTTAATGGCCTTTTAAAATCCTCCTGGACTGTGAAAAATATATTTTAGTTAGTTTGCAGTATTTCATCATGTCAATTTGAGTGTAACACCTTATTTATTCCTTATTTTATATCAGTTTTCAATTAAGTTCACACATAGGACTTTAAACAAAGAACTGATCATAAGCATTTCTATAACAATATAATATATGCAACTTCACTACATACTTGCAAAAGCAAATAAACATAAAATAGTATATACTTAATTTATATATTATCTCTGAGAAAATATTGTGCGACACTATCAAATTGCACATGCAAAAGTCAATACTGAATCTATGACAACATACAGCATTGCTGAGTTGTAAAATTATTTGTGCAGGAACATGCCTAAACTCCTAGACAGATGTCCCTATAACAAAAAGCCTTTACAGGATTTTTAATATAAGCAATATACCATCTAGATTCAATTTCTTCAAAATCTAGTACCCCTAATTTTTTTCCCTACTAGATTTTTATTTGATTAACCAACTATCTCGCCTACTAACTATATTCTCCTTTAAAAATGGATATTCACAGGCCCCAAGTCCTCAAGCCCAATCTTTGTCCGAAGAGCTTAATGAATAAACTTTTTGCTATTTGATCATCCTTTCTGACCTACAATAAGGAATTCAACAATAAATCTATTCAGACAAAAAGCTTTTGAAAATAAGTGATGTCTAGAACAAAGTCCGTTAAGGAGGCTCTATACTGAGATGGCCTAATGAGATACAGAATAAATGTGTCACAGTATCAAAGATAGTTAGCTATGAATTTTGAGAATGCTTCATACTGCATAGTTGAATTTCATAATCTCACACTATTTTGATTCTTTACCAGCTTTACAGCAATCAAAACCAAAGCATCAGACACAAAAATAATGGCACAGAACAGAATTCTAAAAATAGATCTTGATCAGCTGCAATTCTGGTACAAACAGTCTTGAGGCTTCAGGTAGGAGTAGAGAGAAAATATATTCACATTGTTTATGCTTAATCCTTTTCATGCACTTCTATTTAAAAAGAGAACAGAATTTAATCAATCGCAGAAAGAAAATCCAGGAGTATTAGTATAAATGTTTGTAAGATTTCATATACAGTATGTCTGTATTACATCTGACTTCCCCATCTAAAATGTACTTCCTTCAAATGGCAGTAAGCAAGACCTGCAGAACATCATTATATTTTTACTGTTATGTACAATGAATTCAAATTTGGTAGATACAGTAACATGCACTGCCACACAGTATGTCGGTATCTTTCTCCATTTGTTTTCTTAGATTTACATTTAGCATGGTGCAAATACCTAGAAATTATGGGATTGTTGGCATATTGATATTACAGTGTACGATGGCACAGCCAGAGTTTATTAAATATGGTACTCTTTCTTTTCTCTGACAGGTAGCAAGCTACGAAGGAGAAACACGTATAACAACATCACAAGGCTGTAGCCCACTAGAATATATACCCTTCATCTTCTCATGCCCTTCCTCTAACTGAAAAGACAACAGGCTAGATTTGCATTAGTCCAGCACTTGGCAGAGAAGTTTTTCTTGGACAATGATAGTATATTATGGAAACTAAAGGACTCTTCCAATTATTCCTTCCGTATAATTAATGATTCAAATTTCACATGATGAGAGTTGACTATAAAACTCAGTATAATGACAACTGACATGTGGAACTGTATGAAATTGATGTTCAAAGTCTTACAAAAGTTATTCATTACGTTATGCTACAAACCTGTTCTGTAACAGTCACTTCTGGTTATCTGTTCCACTCTCACCTTTTTGGTAGAGGATATGGATTTGTTTGCAACATACAATGAAGTTTTGCATTGCAGTCATTAAGATGATTCAGTATTGATCAATG